ATGAAAACTGAGAATGGCAAGAATTTTGTGTTAAAAGCATCATTCAACATATTCCTTTTACAGCTGCAGACAAAGATCAAGACCAGAAAGAGAAATCAGGAGCAGGGTTTGACTAGAATCAAAGGTGCTCCTTTTTATCTTAGAGCAAGATGACATGGAAGAAACACCTGAAAAGGGCTAACTTCAGATAAAGGAAGTACCTTGTGAGATTTGAGAATAAAGTCTGTCATACATAATTCACTATTTTGAGTACATTACCAAGCTCTAGGACATGATTTGTGTTTTTATCTCTAACATTGATTTAAAATGTTTTAAATGCAAATATTAATTTGGGAAGGTATATTTTCAGTGAAATTGATAAGTGACTTCTAAAGGATTGTTGGGTTTGTGTGTGTGTGTGTGTGTGTGTGCGCGTGTGTGCGCGCGCGCGCGCGCGCGCACATGCAACTCTGGGGATTGAACCCAGGGGTGCTACATTGGGCTATATTGCTAGTCCTTTTTGTTTTTATATTGAGACAGGGTCTCACTAAATTGCCCAGGCTGGCCTGGATTTTTTGATCCTCCTGCCTTAGCTTCCTGAGTTGCTGGGATTACAGGCATATACTACAATGCCTGACAAGGTACAGTTTTTAAAATTGTATTTCTGGAGCTGGGGGTGTGGTTCAGTGCTAGAGCCAATGTTTAGTATGTTTGAGGTCCTGAATTAAATCCCCAGCACCAGAAAAATACAAAATAAAACCAAACAAAATAAAATTGTACTTCCAAAATAGAAACAGAATTCCTGATTTCTTGAAAGTATTTACAAAATTCTATGAAAAAAAAAAAAACAGGTTTTCCCCAAATTCTACTTTGGAGACTGTTGGAGGAAAAGTGGGGAAGGGAAAACAGGGATGTTAGAAGGATACTAAAGGGCTCTGGGATATAAGTGGTACAGCATTTGCCTAACATACATGAGGCCCCAGGTTCAATCCTTGGTACCATAAAAAATAGTCATAGAAGGATAGTATAAGGCTGAGAATGGTAGCACATGCCTGTAATCTCAGCTACTTGAGAGGTTGAGACAAGAAGATCACCTTTGAGGCCATCCTGGGCAATTTAGCAAGACCCTGCCTCAAAATTAAATCCAAAAAGAAATGAGAAGGTTTGGGGATGTAGCTCAGTGTTTGCCTAGCAATGTGTGTCTACCTAGCAATGCAGATCAGTGTTTGCCTAACAATGTACAGCCCTGTGTTTAATCTCCAGCAACACACACACACACACCCCTATGGGAAAAATAAGAAATGTCTTAGCATTGCAATAATAAATTAAAGCTATCAATCCCTCCATTAAAAAGCTCCCTTGAGGGGCTGGGGCTGGGGCTCAGCAGTAGCACACTTGCCTGGAATCTGTGAGGCACTGGGTTCGTTTCTCAGCACTGCATATACATAAATAAAATAAAGGTCTATCAAGAACTAAAAAAAAAATTTTAAAAAAAAGCTCCCTGGAGGACTGGGGTTGTGGTTCAGTGGTAAAGTGCTTGTCTAGCATGTGAGAGGCGGGTTCCATCCTCAGCACCACATAAAAATAAATAAATAAAATAAAGGTACTGTGTCCATCTCTAACTAAAAATATTAAAAAGAAAAAAAACTCCTGGAGACACACACCAGCTGTGGATTCAGGGCATACTCTCCCTGCATGCTCCAACCTGTTTGCTAAGATTAGAGCTTCAGATGTAGTCAACAACAAGTAATTCATGCAAAAAGTAGCCTACTTGAAAGTGTCAGACTCTGTTGGGTGGGTCTTGGTTTATATCAAACAAACCATTTAAAAAAAAATTGTGGTGCCAATGAGTGATTGAACCCAGGACCTTGTGTATGCTGGGCAACTGCTCTACCACTGAGCTACATTCCCAGCCCTTAGCTTCTTTTCTTTTTTTTTTTTTTTTTTTTTGATGGGGCGGGGGGTACCAGGAATTGAACTCAGGGGCACTTGACTACTGAACCACATCCCCAGCCCTATTTTGTATTTTATTTAGAGACAGGGACTCACTGAGTTGCTTAATGCCTTGCCGTTGCTGAGGCTGGCTTTGAACTTGCAATCCTTCTGTCTCAGCCTCCCAAGATGCTGGGATTACAAGCATCTGCCACCGTTCCCGGTTTCAGCTTATTTTCTTACAGGTAAATTTTTTTCACCTCAACACTGCCTATTACCACAATGGCACCATATGAAGTTTTCAGTGTTTCTATGCTTATGAAAATGGGGAGGAAGCCAGACGTGGTGAACACATGCCTGTAACCTCAGACTGAAGCAATAGGATTGCAAGTTTAAAGCCAGACTGGGCAATTTAGCAAGGCCCTAACTAAAAAGAATTGGGGATGTAGCTCACTGTTTAAACACCCCCTGGGTTTGATGCCCAATACTGCAGAAGAAAGAAAGGAAGGAAGGAAGGAAGGAAGGAAGGAAGGAAGGAAGGGAGGGAGGGAGAAGGAAGAGAGAGAGAGAGAAGGTTTGATGCTCAATACTGCAGAAGAAAGGAAGGAAGGAAGGAAGGAAGGAAGGAAGGAAGGAAGGAAGGAAGGAAGGAAGGAAAGAAGGAAGGAAGGAAAGAGGAAGGGGAGGAAAAAGGGAGGAAGGGGGAAGAGAGAGAGAGAGAAAGGAAGGAAAGAAAGAGGAAGGGAAGGAAGAAATAACAGCCCTTTTATGGAAGAGAAACAGTCCTCTCTCCCTTTGCCATATGACCAACTGGGTACAATGGGAAGGGGGGAATTGAATGGTTCCTTGGAATCCTGGTTTCAGACACTGTTCATTTTAAACAATACCTGAAACATATTCACACTGAAGAGTTCTTCTATGGAGATCTTACATGTTGTTTTTACCATTTATAGAGTAGCTAACACAGGAAATGACCAGCTCAGAGTGGTGACTGGCAGATGCTTGGAACCAGGATCAGCCATGCATTGCCTTCTATGGAAACTGTACCTAAAGATTCAGAAAGAGTGAATGGGTACAGTCCATTTCTGTAAACCTCATCCACATGCTACTCATTTTCCCTCTTCTTGTTTTCTTTTCTCTCTCTTGTTTCTCGTGTTAGAATTGGAACCCAGGGCCTTGTACATGCTACACAAGTGCTCTACCAGTGAGCCACACCCCCAGCCCCTCTTTATCTTTAGTGTATATGATACTGGGGATTAAATCCAAGGGTGCTTTATCACTAAGATACATTCCAGCCCTTTTCAATTTTTATTTGGAGACAGGGTCTCACTAAGTTGTCAAGACTGGTTTCAAACTTGCAATCTTCCTGCCTCAGCCTCTCAAATTGCTGGGATTATAGACAAGCACCACCTTGCCTAGCTCTCTCTTTTTAACGTCTATATTTCTCCCTTCTATCTCCTTATTACACTGGAAGAGTATACTTTTTTTGTGTGTGTGGTTCTGGATATTGAACCCAGGGCCTTGTTCATAAAGGCAAGCACTCTACCAAATGAGATATGTTCCCAGCCCAGATATACACTTTTTAAAAAGATATATTAAGGAAAAGTTTAAAAACACAGATACCCATGTTTATATCAATTTTTGTCTAGTTCTAAGGAAAAACTTTTAAGGATGAGGGTTATGATGGCACAAAAAAACTTTTTTTAACCTTTTTTTTTTTTGGATTTTAAAAATCCAATGGGAGCTGTAGCTCAGTGATCTACAGATTCAATGCAATCCCTACCAAAATGTTAAGGATTTCTTACAGAATTTTTTTTAAAAAAACTAAAATTTATATGGAATTACAAAAGACCCTGAATGTCTTTTGTAAATTGTCCTGGCTAGCCTCAGACTTGTAATCCTCCTGCCTCAGTCATCTTGAGAAAGAACAAAGCTAAAAGCTTCACACTACATGATTTCAAACTATACTATAAAGTTATAATGATCAAAATAGCATGATACCAGCATAAAAACAAACATACTGACCAATGGAACAGTATAGAGAGCCGTAAAATAAATTCACATCTTTACAACCAATGGATTCTTTCTTTCTTTTTTCAGTGCTCGGGAATCAAACCCAGGGCCTCACAGATACTAGGCAAGTGCTCTACCACTGAACTACAACCCCTGCCAACACCACCTTTTTTTGTGTGTGTGTGTGGTAGCACTGGGATTGAACCAAAGATGCTTAAGTACTGAGCCACATCTCCAGCCCTTTTTCTTATGTTTTATTTTGAAACCTGGTCTCACTAAGTTGCTTAGGGCCTTGCTAAATTGCTGAGGCTGGCCTCGAACTTATGATCCTCCTGCCTCAGCCCCGCAAGTTGCTGAGATTATAGGTGCTCACCACCATGCCTGACCTCTACTAATATATTTTTTTCTAATATATTCTTAAAAACTGCTAAGAGAGATGGTAAGTGTTCTTACCACCAAATGATAACTATGTGAGGCACTACATATGCTAATTTCCTAGATTTTAGTCATTTCACAATGTATATATATATTTCAAAACATGTTGTATACCATAAATACATACAATATTATATGTTAATTTAATAAAGAAAGAAAAATAGAACTGGGCCTAGTGGTACAGGCCTGTAATCTCAGCTACTCAGGTGACTGAGGCAGGAGGATCAGGAAGATTACAAGTCTGAGGCCAGCCAGGACAATTTAGTGAAATTCTGTCTCATAAAATAAATAAATAAAAAGGACTGTGGATATAGCTCAGTGCTCACCTAACATGTTCAAGGCTCTAGATTAAACTGCTAGTACCATAAAAAAATCCAGCAATATCTGAGATCCAATCAAAGATTTCCAGGAATAATTTTGTAGGAAAACATTGTCTAT